GTTTCGGAGAATTTGGCGGGATAAGACGTTGAAGCCGTTTGCTCGTACCAAAGTGAGTGTTTGACATTTACCTTTCATCTTTATTCATATATATATTAATCCGTAGATATTCATTAGCTCTCTATCGTTACTGTCCTTAAATATTTATCCAATTTAGACTAAATAATCCCAAATTAATTCGATACCGTAGGTTTCGGTATACTGTTCGGTTTCACTGTGTAACAATTAATGTAACATTTACGTATTTCTAATCCAATTTGCAATCTTTGCGACACACTACGAGTTCAATAATTCTTAATTTGTATCACTAACTATTCTTAACGTAGTGTAATTATTTAAAGTTTATGTTTATTTTCTGTTTCAGAGTTTCGGTTTGAAAGTACGCACTACCGTCCTGAGCATTGCTGACTGTCTTCAATCAGAATTCGGCGGGAAATTGGTGAATTCTGGTAAGTTATTATAACATTTATTATAACATTTATTATGACAACAAAGTGACACTTCATTACATACTTAGTAAAGCCTGAGTAAATTTAGTATTCTCTATAAACATGTTAACGGACATTTAATAAGTTATCTTTTAGATAAGTGACGAAATACATATATATTTTTGGCGTTATGTTTTTTCAGTGTTACATTCGCCGTTTAAACTGGAGTGATGCACATGTTTGTTCCCGCCAAGTCGTACTTCTGGAGGATATACCGCTCTGACCAATCAGCTACTCGGGATCTCCCGAAGATAGCCGAATGAACCGCTCGGGACCGGCCGAATGTAACCGAAGTGTCATTCGTTTCGGAGAATTTGGCTGGATAAGACGTAGAAGCCGTTTGCTCGTACCAAAGTGAGTGTTTGACATTTACCTTTCATCTTTATTCATATATATATTAATTCCTAGACCTCCATTAGCTCTCTATCGTTACTGTCCTTAAATATTTATCCAATTTAGACTAAATAATCCCAAATTAATTCGATACCGTAGGTTTCGGTTTACTGTTCGGTTTCACTGTGTAACAATTAATGTAACATTTACGTATTTCTAATCCAATTTGCAATCTTTGCGACACACTACGAGTTCAATCATTCTTAATTTGTATCACTAACTATTCTTAACGTAGTGTAATTACTTAAAGTTTATGTTTATTTCTGTTTCAGTTTCGGTTCGAAAGTACGCACTACCGTCCTGAGCATTGCTGACTGTCTTCAATCAGAATTCGGCGGGAACTTGGTGAATTCTGGTAAGTTATTATATTATTTATTATAACATTTATTATGACAACAAAGTGACACTTCATTACGTATTTTTATATTGTTTTTAATCGTAAGTGAAATAATCGTGATTTCGTGGTTTGTAACAAATTTGTCTTGTTTTTTTTCAGTTTCTTTAAATGTTGCATCACTGAACACTAAATCGGATATC